CATGAAACTGGTTTCTCTTGGGTATAAGAGAGTAGTCTGGTTAGAGGGGATTAGGTTTGCAATCTGAAATATATTATTTCTTAAAAAAAAAAAAAGTGGAGGAAAATATAACCAGATGTTAACAGTTGTTAACTCCGGGAAGTATGAATGTGAAAGTTTAACTTTTCTGTATCTTTTAAATTTTTCAAGCAAAGGAGGAGGGAGTAGGAGAAATTTTCATTCAAAGGAAAAGAGTAAGATAGATTTCTCTTTGAACCCTGGAGGACAAAAGCAATATGCATTCCCCTTATGACAGAAAGAAATCCTGAGGTCAGGCTTTGCTTCCTCTGGAGGAAACTTTTGCTGATGACGTCTTGTTTCCCTCTTGTCTCCTCTCCCCGGCCTACCCCATAGACAGCAAGAGCACTCTTAGGAAGGCAGCATTTTCTTTTTTGGCTTTTACAACTTTATTTTTAAATTTTTTATCTTTTATTTTAGGTTTGGGGTTGCATGTGCAGGTTTATTATACAGGTAAACTCATGCCACAGGGGTTTCTTGTACAGATTATTTCATCACTCAGATATTAAGCCCAGTAGTACCCAATAGTTATTTTTTCTGCTACTTGCCCTCCTCCTACTCACCACCCTTAAGTAGATCACAGTGTCTGTTGTTTCCTTCTTTGTATTCATTAGTTCTCATTATTTAGCTTCCACTTACAAGTGAGAACATATGCTACTTGTTTTTCTGTTCCTGCATTAGTTTGCTAAGGATGAGAGCCTCTAGCTCCATCCATGTTCCCACAAAAGACATGATCTTGTTGTTTTTTCATGGCTGCATAGTATTCCATGGTATATATGTACCACATTTTCTTCATCGAATCTGTCATTGATGGGCATTTAGGTTGATTCCATGTCTTTGCCGGGCAGCTGCATTCAATACTAGGGAGATTAGGACCCTATCTGCCCATATGGGATTGTGTTTGAGAACAAAAAATTTCCACGACCACGATTTGTAGGTTTTAAATTCTATAGTCTCTGTGCATATGTTATTACTCCTGGAAAACTTTCTGTGTGATGGGGAATAAATAATAAAAGTGCATTGAGATGTGGACCTTAAATTCCAAAGTTAACTGCATTTTAAAAGAGAAATTCTGAAGGATTGAGCAGTCCTCCCATGTTTTTCCAAAAGAAAACACTAATCAAGGTTTTTCAGAAAAAAATAGGTTCAGATATTCTTTAGAAAAGAAAAATGTTGGACAATGTGGTAACTTGATCAATAAACATATTTATTAGGAAAAGGCCTGCTTCCATGGGCTCTTTCTACTGTATCTGTGATTAAGGCTGCTTTTAGCAATAAGTAAATGACACCCCTGACTCCTGCAATACTTGGTAGGTGGACAATGGGAACAACTTGGGTGTTAGGGTAGAATGACCACTGTCTGGGCCTGTCACTAATACCACACTGGAGCACAGGTGTGGACAAGAAGATCCTAGAGCGGGCCAGTGGGTACCAAATACTACCTCTTTTACATTTTGCTTCAATATTAGCAGCTTATGGCACTGGCCTAAGGCTGCTGCCAAAACTCTGCTGTCATTCCCTCACTGACAGTGAAAGAATGATACATCCGTTCAGTATTCAGAAATGAGACAGGCTTGTTTTGACACCGTTATTTCTGCAAAAGAGAAAGGAACCAGATTGGAGAGTGTAGTCATCAATTGGCAGAATCAGTTAAGAATAACAACAGCACAGTGTGCGTTATTTGGGAGAGGTAAAGCATGGCACGAGCTGCTGGAATTCGTTGGAAAATGCTAGCCCAGCTCTTCCTCCCTTAGTTTGAACAACATCTGGTCTCATTTCCATGGCTTCTGCATGCCCTGTTGAAGGGAAGTTCATCCCTGCCTCCCAATCACTTAACCTCTTATGATGCCTGATAGTAAAAAATACTATGTTAGCAACTAAGGGGATTCCTACTTCTAGAGATAAGTCTTTGCTTCTTACTTAAGCTTTGATTTATTGTCTTTGGTTGTTTTGGGTAGAGGGGTGGCTGATTTTTAACAAGAAGATAAACTTACAGATGGAAATTCTTGTAAGCCATAAATACCACTAACTTGCCTGTTCCAGTTCAAATAAAGACACTGGAACTTAGCAGCAGCTGAAATGTTTTTCTTCTTTTCCCATTGGCCAAAAAAAAAAACCAGACATGCTTCGCCATCGGTGGTTTGGCGCCAGTGCCTGATCTGTGCCTGGATACGTGAGCCATTCAGAGTTCCTACTGCATAGAAGGGAGACAGAGAATGACAAATTGGTCTACACCAGTTGACCTCCAAAGTGAAGGCATAACTTTACCCAGCAATCTCTGAAGGTTTCTTTTTCTGTTTTATTAAGTGTAAACACTGTCCTCCAGTGCTCCCTATTTCTCCTAGCAGGCTCCAAGGATTAATTCTGGGTCACTAGCTAAATTCACCACCTCTGCTCTGCTCCCAAATTGCTTCTATCTTTTTCCTTACTCTTATGCAGATCCTGGAAGATATCAATTCTGAGGGCTGGTGTGTATCTTGATCACCTTTGGAATCTACCACTCCACGGAGTACAGCATTTACCACCTAGTAGGTAAGCAATAAATGCTTGCTTGTCCATTGATTTATTCAGTAGACTCAGTGCTGTGTGCACATTAAACACCTGGGGAGCTTTAAACAAGAAACAAGCAAACCAACAAATGCTGCATTGGCTTAGACCAACCAAATCCTGATTTCTGGGTGTGGGATCCCAGCATTGATAGGTTTGTAAAGTACCATAGGTGATTTTAGTGCAAGGTGAAGGTTGAGAACTACTGGATTCATTAACCTGTTGCTTTACTTGGCTAAGTTCTGTTTGCTTCCAAGTTTGGAAGAAACCTATTTGGATCCTTTTGAGGAATTCTAATCCCTGACAAAATGCTAGTGCTATTTTATAGCAAAAGTAGACTAGGATGGCTATACTATGTGGTCCTGGGCAAGTTATTTAAAGTCTCTGTGCCTCAGTTTTCTCAACTGTAAGATGGGAAGAATAATAGTGACTACCTCTGGAGTCTGCTGTAAAAGTTAAATGATCTGATCTATTAAAGCTCTTAGAACAGTACCTGGTATATAAGTATGTGATAAATAAAATCTAATATAAAAAGAGGATGGTCTATTTGTTGTCATTATTATTGTTCTCTGCTTCAGTTAATGACTCCAGCTTCCACCCAGACTAAGCTCCCAGGACACTTTTGACTCCAGCCTCTCCTTTGTCCCTTTCATTTCATCCCTGGTCAAGTCCTCCTCCTCTGACACTGCACTATCGGGAATCTGTCTCTTCCTTTTCATGCCCCTGGCCCTAATTTTAATCCTCACTCTCATTATCTCTCCTCTAGATTACAGCCACCACACTGGTCTCCTTGGCAACCACCTGCTTTGTCTGTCAACCACCCCTTGGATGGCTCCCAAATTGCCCTAAAGTCAAGCTAAATCTTGGAGCTGTAAAGCTCAAGGCTCAACTTACATCCTTATTGCTGTGAAAATTCAAAACCAAGTTGTGCGATTGGGACAGTTTAATTACTTTCTCTAAGCCTTGTTTTCTTCATCTTTTTTGTTTTGTTTTCTTTTTTTTTTGAGATGGAGTCTTGCTCTGTCACTTAGGTGATCTGGCTTACTGCAACCTCCACCTCCCAGTTCAAGCGATTCCTCAGTCTCCCAAGTAGCTGGGACTACAGGCGTGGGCCAGCATGCCTGGGTAATTTGTGTATTTTCAGTAGAGGTGGTGTTTCACCATGTTGGCCAGGCTGGTCCCGAACTCCTGGTCTCACATGATCTGCCTGCCTCAGCCTCCCAAAGTGCCAGGATTACAGGGGTGAACCATGGTGTCCTGCCAGTTTTTTGACCTTAAATGGGGATCAAGTAATAATACTTTCTCCTCAATAGGGTTATGGGAATAGGATGAGGGAATTCTTATAAGTAAAGCATCTAGAAATCTACATGGCACACAATAGGAGCTCAATAAAAGTTGTTGTTATTATTTGAAACTTGACTACCAGCAACTCCTCTCCAGACATACCAGGCACTGGCCACATGGAAGTCCTTGCTGATTCCTGCCACCCTGTACTTTGGGTCTCTGCTCATACTATCTTAACGCTTGGGATGCCTGCCAGTCCTCTCCAGGTGTCTGAATCTTAAGAGTTTTTTTTTTTTTTTTTTTTTTTTTAGACAGAGTCTCGCTGCGTTGCCAGGCACCAGGCTGGATGGAGTGCAGTGGTGCGATCTTGGCTCACTGCAACTTCCGCCTCCCAGGTTCAAGCAATTCTCCTGCCGCAGTCTCCTGAGTAGCTGGGACTACAGGCGCGAGCCACCATGCCCAGCTAATTTTTGTATTTTTAGTAAAGGCAGGGTTTCACCATGTTGGCCAGGATGGTCTCAATCTCTTCACCATGTTGGCCAGGATGGTCTCAATATCTTGACCTCGTGATCCGCCTGCCTCAGCCACCCAAAGTGCTGGGATTACAGGTGTGAGTCACCGTACCTCGCTGAATCTTAATAGTCTTAAAGGGCCAACCCTCAAATGCCAATTTCTTCTAGAAGACTTCCCTGAAGTCAATTACTCTTTCTGACTTCCCACAGAATTAACTTCTTTTAAGGGAGGGGCTCTCCAACTTTAGCTTTTGTCAGATTTACCCTGAGGGCTTGCTAAACCACTCACTCCTTGGCGGATCCTAGAGATCCTAATTCAGTAAGTCCAGGGTAGGACCCCAAACTTTGCATTTCTAATGAGTTCCCAGGTGATACTGATCTTCTGGTCCATACTTTAATAGATCTGTTTTCGGGCCACTCGCAGAACACCTTCCAACTTCTGTTATGGCTACCTGAATACAAATCTCTTCTCTGAGAAGACTCTAAGTTCTCCATAGAGGGGCCAAAGTCTACTTTCCCTTTTATCTGGTGGAGGGAGGTGGGCCTTGGGATGGGCCTTGAAGATTGGGCAGAATTTAAATCCACTAACAGCAGGCAATTGCTTGCAATGGCGAGCCCGGGAAGCGGAACAGGAACGGAGAGCGGCATGGTTGTCGGAGGACGAATGGTGAGGATATTAAGGTGCAATGGGAAATGGGGCTAGAAAGCTGTGTGTTACATATTCAATATGATATGGGGATTTTGATTGGGGTCGGGGTGTGGAACCTTGAAAAGCAGGCAGAAGAGGGCACATTTGATCCCCTAACCTGCAAAACACAAGGGCTGAACGGCAAGTTCTCATCATGACGGTTCCTCCCATAAGCCGCTGTGGAGCTCGGGCTCTCTCTGCATTTTTAGCAACGCACACTTCCTAGACGTGCAGGACATGTTTGCTATTCTAGCTCCAAAAGTCTGTTGTTCTTTGAATTACGGTTGCCTATGAAAACGTGGACAGAGGGGAGGCTCAGGCCTCACCAGCTCTTAGTACACCTGAGCCAAACCAGAGCCTTGAGGTAGTTGTGATTGGTGCTCCCACCCCACAAATTCTGGGCTCTTCCTTCCCTTAAAATCACTTTGGCTGGTTTGGAAGTTGCTTGACCAGAAATAACATTGCTTCTAGAAAATGGATTCTTCCCCCATGTTCAGAATAAGCTTGGTTTAAGGGGATAATTATAAGAGGGAAAGAAGGAAGCGGCCACCTGGAAGCAATAGATCTGGGCTCACTGGGAAGCCCTTGGTTTTATTCTGTGGGTTTTCTGCTATGCTTGTCTCCCAGGTGTAGATGAGGTTAAATAATTAATGTATGTGAATGTACTTTGTAAGCTCTAAAACACTGCAGGAATATAATTAATTATGTTTATAATTACAGGTAATGTAATTATAATTATAATTACTTTGTGGGTGGAAGCAGAATATATATATCTCATGCCTGTTCTATAGTAGGATACCCTTGGTGGATATCCTTGGGTAGATCATCAATTTGTATAATTGAGTTTGACTCACTTTCTCTGATTTTATTTTCAACATTGAAACGTATGTGAGACCTTGGCCCAAGGACTTCTGGTTGTGTTTTAGAAAACGGGGAAAAAGTGTATAGAATGAGGCTGGGAAATTCAACAGTCCAATAGTAATATTCTCTGGCCTTTATCTATCATGTAGATAAAGTTAAGGCAATTTATTTATTAACTTGCCTGTATACAGCAGTAATACTTGCAGAGATCCTATAGTTAAACACAAAAAATATGACATACATATTCAGTTTCTGTAAGTGATTTATATCTACAATGTTATTCAAAGTAAGAATTCTTTCTAAAAGTTCACTAGACCCTACTACATTCTAAAGTGATCACGTAATTGCTAAATTAGAAATTTGTTCTATATTTCAGGCAATGCTTACTAATACTAAGCTAAAAATTTAATATGTCATACCATTTTGCTTGTTTAGCAAACTAATAAGCTTAATAGAAGTGCTGGGTGGTTGTTTACTTCCTTCAACATGCTAAATCTTGAAAAGTGATTGTGTTTGGACCCATGTTGTGGAGCAAGAGTTGAGTTATATTGGTACCTGAGGGAAACATTTATGCCTGGAGTCTCCCTCCTTGAACTGCCAGATTCGCCCGAGAGGCTAAACGTTGCATTTCTTCGGAGTCTCTGACCTTCTGCCATTGTTCCTATGCACTGTTAATTGTTGTTAATTTCTAACACATCATTAATTATTTGCCATTAAAGATGTGGGAGACGGAAATGCCCTTCACTCATGGGTGGTCACACGAATTAACCATTAATAATTACAAAATGTGTTACTTTAAATGTGAAAAGTGAATTTGAGCCATTTGCGTGAAAGTCGCTGTGTTTCTGTGGCTGCACTGCGATATACTGGCAGCGTGGGTGGGGATGCCATGAGTGATCCCGTCGTGGCTGGGGAAGAAGCCATCTTCTCTTGCTTCCTTAATGACTGTCACATTTGGCCTCTGGAGCATGATATACTTTTCAGAGAAATTTTTTCTTTACAACTTTCTCCTCCTTTGTCCAAGAAGCCTGAAGTGGAACAGTTTCCTCTGATGTCACAGCCCCAAGTCAGTCACACAATTAGTACTTACCGTGGAGTTCCTGACTCCCACTCCCATTCAGCCCATCAGACCATGCCGAGAGGTAAGCGCTGGCAGGTGGAGATATCCACTCCCACCTCAGGCTTGCAGAGTGATGAAGCCAAGGCCATTTCACTGACATTGGGCTCTCGGTCTTTAAAAAATAAGTGCCTGGATTGCCATTTATTATTGAGATTTTAATGTAGTGCCTATCTTTAAAAGTCAGGCAGAAGATTTTTCACGCAAGTTTATTGGAGTGTGGAGAATAAAAAAATATATCGGAAAATAAGCATCAGATAGGGGTCTCTAGGTTTCACCAATCAGAAGAAATTTTTAAGGTATAGACAAAAGATTTGGGAAAGTGCATGAAATATTATTTTGTGAGTGTAGATTTCAACTGTGAAATCAAGACAGCTAAAAGTTAGATTCATTACAAGGGGAATAGTTTGAACTTAAGGAGTCAATGATAATTCTTTTTAGCTGAATCCCTTGTTTTGCTAATAAGAAAATGGAGATCCATAGATGATCAAAAGAGTCCTTAGCTGTGAATGTGGGAAATAAGAGAACTGTGTCACTTAAATGGTTTTTATGGTTTCGTATTATGATTCTTTTTCATCTGAACTGTGATCTCAAGAACAAGGGCAAGCTCTTCTCTTTTCTTCCCTGTTTGCCCTCCTCTTTTTGTTCTGCTGGGTTAGAATAATAGAGAGATCAGAGGAGATGGTGTTCTGCTTCCTGGAATAGTCTAAACTATACCAGGTAGTTTGGGGCATCTAATGACATCATGGATAAAGCCAGGTTGGAAGTCTAAACAACATCCTCCTTTCAGGAAATCACTTAGCCTTCAGGTCCCCCATTCCTTCTCATCTGTAAAATGAGGCTCTTAGACTTTAAGTCTTAAGGTTTTAACTCTCAAGACAGTTGAATTCTAAGATCTAAATTCCTCTGTACTTTCTTCTATTGTTTTAACAATTTTTTAAAAATTGCTACACAATAGTCTACAGTCAACATATTTCACGTTTTATTCTCTCTTCTATTAATGGATATTTAGGTTGTTGTGAAGGTTTTTTTTTCCCCCACTAGAAATAATGCTGCAATAAGCATTTTTGTACAAAGTTTTTTATGTATATGTGTGAAAATTTCTCCAGTGTTTCAGTTTTACCAAATGACGCCAAATCAACTTTCAGAACCAATTTACTAAGCTTTACTTCCTTTATCTCTATTCACATAAGCCACTATGTGGGGAGGGGTTGTGACCTTCCTACATCTAAAACTGGTGGACAGGACCCAGGTTCTTATTTTGGGGGACATAAACCCACCAACATCTGTGTTCCTGTTGCTTCCTTCCAAATCTCCCCTCCCATAAATCCTGGGAGTCTTTTCTTTGGTAAGAGGTGGAGGAGTAAAGCCTACTTTAAATTCACATATTTTCCCCCAACTCTTTTGCCTCTACCTTAAGTCTTTACTTCCATGTGGGGCTTGGCTTTGGAAATAGGCAAGTCAGAAAGAGAGTTCTTCTAATACTGTCTTATTTTTTCCTTGAGTTAAATAGCAGAGACCTATCCAGCTTCTTGCATGGGGAAGAAGGAAGGTCAAAAGGGAAAAAAGAAATGAAAAAAACATCAGATGATATTTAAACACTTTTATCCTTCAACATAATGAATTGTTCAAATTGATTTTATTTAAAATAGTAAAATTGTGTGAACTATGAACTGCCTGGGCAATCTAGCTCTTGAAGTCGTTTTCTGTCTTGGATTATGGATATTTCATTATTTGTGTTTTATATTTCCTGTAGAAAGGCAGTGATCTAGAATTAAGTAGACCAACTAGATAAATCCCCAGGCAGGGAGAGGATAAGAGTGAATTCAATAAACGTTTTGAAGGGGAAGAATTTGAATGAAGGGAAAGGTAGGGAAGAAAAGCTCATGATTTTGAGGAGTTAAGCCCAGGAAACAAGATAAATGCTTGTTCCTTTGATAAGAAATGGAAGAGGAATGTAGCTTGGGTTGACTGGTAGAAGATCATAGATTTGAATTTGCGTATATAGTGCATTCATCTCCAAGAGATGTTCATGCCAGGAGATCTTCCTTTCCTTTAAAACTGCAGCCAGGGGGGTCCAAAGTGGCTCCCGCCGGAGGTCATGGCGCTCGTGAAGGTGAGGTCATCAGTTCAAGGCTAACCTGAGCAACCTCATAAGCTCAAACTGATTGGCAAAAAAAAAAAAAAAAACTGCAGCCAGGATGGACCAATACTTTTGTTGTGTTTCCATGTGATCCATAAGGATACATGCCAGCATGTAGTATGCTTTTTCAGCCTAAAGGTTGTAGTCATCCTCCTTCAGCCTACTCTGTGGCAGCTTTCTTCTTATTCAGTGCTTTCCATTCTCCCTTCAAGTCCTGGACATCTGAGCTGTGCATATGAGCGCGTGTGCATGCACACACACACACACACACACAGACCCACAGACCCACAGACTGGAGACCCTGAATGCATGCTTTCTCCCAGTGGAAAGGCAAACTTCCTTCTGAATTCCTAGAACTGCCTTTTATTTTTATTTTTTTTTATTTTTTTAATTTTTTATTGGATTATAGGTTTTGGGGTACATGAGCAGAGCAGAACTGCCTTTTATTAACTTTACCTGTGAGCAACCTTGAATGAGGAACAGCCTTACTACAGACTGTTAATCTCAGAAACAGTGAATTACTTCATCACCAGGGAAATATTCTACTGGAGGTTCCCAGTTGGCATCAGCAGAAGAAAGACTCACAACTCTTCCTTTTTATCCTTATGGATAAAACATTGGTGTTTCTCTCTCCATTCCAGGTCTTGAAAAAGTAAGTTATTCAGCAAATTGTACTCAGTTCCCCTACTTTCATCTCCCAGCACATCAGGGCTTTAGACACCTCGGTGCTGACTGCACTCCTAGTTCTTCCCATCCAGAGGCAAACAAAACAAGGGCACTTCTAAGCAGTTTATTCACAATGCTTTCTTCAACAGACTGCTCTGAGTTATCAGTGGTGTCCTGTTTTTAGGACAAAGA